GTATACTAGAATGTGTTATTGTATATATTATTTTTAAATGTTTTAGAAATCAACTACCCAGTGGGTTTTAAAAACCCATGGAGCATAACATACATTCATGTAAGTATACACTTTATTAAGTATACACCTTGATGGATTAATACAAATTGAACACATGCATGTAACCATCAATCCCGATTGGGACATTAACAGCAACCCCGAAGTCCCCTTCAGTGCTCTTTCCCAATTGTTGCTTCTACCTTCTTCCAAACCTTAACAGTAGCCATTTCAATTTTTGAGCACTTTTTGTAAAAGCCAGACAAATTTATTTTGTAACTTAACTTGCTATATTCTTCAGTTTTATCTCTCATTTTAAAACTTGGGCAAGAAACCTCTCTTTGCCTTGCCTTTTAGGTTGGTAAATTAGAGATAACTTAGCAAAATTATTTTTGAGGATTCAACTAAATAGGATGTAGCTGTTAGATGCTAGGAAATTGGTGTTGCTATTGCTACTGTTAGTAAATAGATTATGTTGGCATCAGTAGATACTATATCAAGTCTAGCTCAGTGAGGACCCAAATTATTCACTTTTTATGTTTTGAGTTATTGGATCAAAGTATGGTTTTCTGCTATAGTGGAATTAGTAATAGTTTAATCATATACATCAACCAATTATTAACAGGTGCTTTATTAGATAGTGGGTATATAGCAATAAAATATAGTTCTTTTTTTCAGGAGCTCATTAAAGGGCCAGACTGTCAATATTTTAGGATTTGTGGGCCATATGGTCTCTGTTGAAATTATTCAATTCTGTCATTGCAGCACAAAAGCAGCCAGAGACAGTACAGAAATGAATGAGCATGTCTGTGTTCCAGAAAAACTTTATTTATGGCACTGAAATTTGAATTTCATGTGATTTTAATGTGTTACAAAATATTATTCCTTTTTTGATTCCCCCCCCCCCCCCCCNAAAAAAAAAAAAAGTCTTTTAAACTTTGTCACAAAGGGACAATCACAAATTTGTGGGGAGTATACCATTTTATCTTTTTTATTCATTATTCCTTTCTCTGTTGTACTTCTTTAGACGGAATACACCTTATAAAACCCTGGAACCTGTTAAACCCCCAACAGTTCCTAATGACTACATGACGAGTCCTGCTCGGCTTGGAAGTCAGCATAGTCCAGGCAGAACAGCTTCTTTAAATCAGAGACCAAGGACACACAGGTAAGCCCTCAGGTTGAGCAGTTGAACATCTGAGAATGCATGTTATTGGTTGGTTACAAACTCCTATAAAGGTGCTGAGTGAAGGTGAAGTATTAGTATAATGCTAATATTGAATATAAAAGTTAGGAGTATTAGCATTGTATATTTTCCTGTAAATTTGCATCATAACTTCTGCTTTTAGATTTTTTTATATCTATTTATACTATTAACAGATTGTTAGTATTTCCTCCTTTTGACAGAGGTACAGATGTATATCTGGATCAAAGCTAAAGAATGTTTTTTAAATAGTCTTTTAAAAACTCAC